GAGTCTTTCTGCTGTACTTTCTGCAACCAGACATGCCTATCTCGTATTGGCCTTTTCAGCCACCAACACGCTTGCAACAAATGTGGGTAGAGCCCTTTCCCAAATCTTAATTTGCAAAGCCTAGCCATGATTTAAAAGAGAAGAGTGATGAAGGAGATTTTTTCCTCTTTTCTGATGATACGAGTATTAGCAAGCATTAACAAGAAAATAAGTATCAAACGATGAAGAATTCAATCCCAGTTATGATGTTTTAGATAAATAATCAATTGTTCTAAATCTCTCCCATATTTCTGAGCTTTCTGAAATGCAGCATGAGTACTCAGGAGGTGTTTGGGAAACAAGATTTGCTTGTTGGTTTGGAATCTTTTGATGTCAATTGTATTATAAAGCAGATATTCCATTTTTGTGCAAATCACCTCATAAAACTCCTAACTGCACTAGTGAAGTTAACACAAAAAATATTTATTTTTTTATTATATACTAGTAGTTATTTACAAAAAGTGAAGTGAACTAAGAGGTTTTAATTTCGTTACATTACAACACAAAGGTTTTACCTCTGTGGTCATGAAGCTGCCAGGCTCCATGATGGGGGACACTGTGGAAAATGCAACATCAGACACATTCTGACAGGTGCAATCATAATGAATGGGAGAAAGGACAGGGCTGAAATAGAAATAATGTTCATTACCCTTGTAATATGTTCTAAAATTGCTAAGTGCCAGACTGAGCCTTATATGCTGTGAAATATTCTAATGACCAATGAGTACATAAGTCTGAGTGAATTAGGAAGTCCACCTAAATCAAATAAATCTCATAACTTAGTACTCACAGATTATTATTAAACTTGATATGAAGGATAATAAGGGCTGCCCAGGGAAGATTTCATCACTGTGAATCCGTGGCCATAGGTGACTTGCAATTCCCTGTAATAATCAAAAGACAAATTTTCTTTGGATTTCTAATAGCTGCTTGAAGTACTTTGCTGTTTGCCTTCACTTATAATTTCCATCATATGCAATGAGAATACAGTGGTGGGACAATTACAGCACACTGATGAACAAAGGTAATGGATTTTAATATTCAGTTAGAAATTATTTTCAATTGGTAGAATTATTTACAAAACATGCTTCAAAAATAAGGAATTGTTAAGAAGTCAACAAGATACAAAAATAACAGATTTTGATGTGTTTTTATATTTCAGCAGACTTTGGTTCCGGTAAGTACATCAAAAGGAAGTGTTAAAGATTCAAATTAACCTTAGAGCTTCCTTGTTCCTCCCTTTCATGCACAGACTTTAAAATGACATCAGTCTGGAACGTAGGTGCCAGTTCTAGAGATAGTATGTCATATCCTGAAGTAGTTTGAGTATTTACATCAGCACAAAAAGCTTATGTCATTTAATATTAGCTGAGTGTTTCACAGCAAGTGTCCATTCAGCTAGAGTTCTCGGTTTGGCAAAGGTTATCCAGTTCTCTGATGATTTTCCATGGTGAAGATGAGCTACCAAATTATGTCTCTCTGTTAAGACTGTGATTAATATAATCTCCGCTATTAAATAGGAATAACACAAACATCTGCACACACACAGAAGTGCTTCACAGATGCAATGATATATGGTCTTTTTTTTCTTATTCAGGATAGGAGTTGTTTTCATGAAAGACAGCTAATATTGGATGTTCTCCTGTTAACACTCACCACAGCACCTTAGTTGGACAACTGGCACTTGGAAACAGTATTATTGATGTGCCACTGTTATCTGTATCAAGTTCCTGGACTTTGCCCTCCTTTTTTTCTGATATATTACATCCTGAAAGTCATCTTTCCTTCATTTCCCACATCTCATTTCTCTTTCTTCTTTGCTTGAAAGACTGAAATTGCTCATTATCTGCTATAAATTGGCATCAACGGAGTTATTTCAATTTATACCAGCTGGACCAAAGCAATGAATGGCTATAAAATGCTGTTCTATTTTATGATAGACTTGGCTTGGATTTAACCTATTATTTTATTTCACTGGCAGGTTTTCTTTCTCTCAATCATCTCGTAATAAAAGTATTTAGTAAATAAACATATTAAGCCATAATAGTTTTCCTTAACTTAAAAACTCATATATTTATTGTACCAGCCACACTGGATAAAGTTAAGTTTGAAAGGCTATTGAAGCAAAGAATGTGTAATGTTACTTTATGTGATGGAAGTTCATATGCAAACCCACAGAAGAGCTCAGAGAGAAGAGGAGGGACTGACCAGGTAATATCTGTCTGCAGCTACTCCCAGGTCCAGCCCACGAGCTGTTAGACCATCAGAGGCCCACCTGCAGAAGTCCAGAGGAGCTCTGGTGCAAAATGGCAAGGGGAGGACAAATTAAGGATTCAGAGGAAGGGACACCCTGTCTGGGCCCCTCTCAGGACTGCCCCAGGAGACCCTCGGACCAGCTGTCCTGGTGTAAAATCCTTTGGATTGAGAGGGTTTGCTGCCTGGGAGTATGGGGTAAATTATGGGAAGCAGAGGTAGAGTATTTGGGGATTGTAGAGAACCTTTGGGATATTTAGGGATCTGTGGCAGGGAATGAGTTAAACAACTGCAAGCTTTGGTGTGACAACACAGCCTGGTTCAATTACGCACACTGTGTGCAGTTAAATAATATGCACGTTAGTTCACCCAGAGGGTGGCTGGGCACTGGAACAGGCTCCCCAGGGCAGTGGTCACAGCACCAACCCTGACAGAGTTCAAGAAGCATTTGGATGATACTCTCAGGCACACGGTGTGACTCTTGGGGATGGTCCTGTCCAAGGGTTGGACTTGATGAACTTTGTGGGTCCCTTCCGACTCAGCCTATTCTGTGATTCTGTGATTCTAGACCTCATTTATTATTCATGTAACTCTTTACTCAAGTCATTTGGGATATTAACTCAGTCATAATCCTAAAAAGATCATACAGCTTCTTAAAACTGTTTTCAATGTATTGAAAAGCATAAAATTCTCTTGCATCACTTTGAGTTTTCTAGGAGGTTTGACCCAGATTGGTTTCTATTTCATCTAGATGTGTTTACCTGTTTCTATGTGTTTGCTTTTATTTTTAAAATCTCCAAATCTCATTTGATAAAGGAAATGCCATTCAACTTGAATCAGGATCACAGTGGATCTCCTTAGGAAAGGAAGAAATCTTCCAGTGAACAATAGGGGGGAACAGCATTTTCTAGTATTTCCATCTAGAATATACTCACAGCACTAAGCAATCTCTCTCAGTAATTTAGCTGGCATATAACTATAACATTGTTAACCAATATAAGTAGTTATAGTTCTTTCTTAATATCACAAATCTCTTGTGCACAATATAGAAAGTCATTGAATGGTACAAAATAGACAAAGAACTAACTAAAAGTTATAAGTTTATTTAAATGCTGAATTGAAATAAGAATATATTAAAAAATTGTAACAGTATCTACTTTTCAAATTCAATCAAGAAAGGGGACTACAAACTCTCCAGCTGCATAGAAGTACAGCAGGACAGTACATGCAGTGAATCAGAACTTTAGGTTGTACACAACAAAACTCTAGCAGTGCATTTGCTGATTTATATCCTCCAGAAATCTAATATATATATAAATATATATAATATACATCTATAAAAGGCCAGTGCAATAGAAACAGAACAAAGGCCTATCTGCTCTTTTCAGAAGGGTTCTCTATAACTGTACCAAGATAAATTATAGCACTGTTCTAATTAAAATGCCTAATTTAAAAGCTGTTGTGTTTCCAACTATGCTTTCTAGAATTACACATCAATATACATTTAAAATTGAAGTAGATTAATGAAAAAAAAATCGATGTATTTGATTAATATTTTATCCTGGCCTGTTGTTTATTAAGGAGTAACAGTAGAAAGTTAATTCAATAAGGTTTCCAGTAAAAAAAGGAAAGAACTGGAGCAATATCTGTAGATGAGCAATCTGGTAACAAGCATGTCAAAGTAAAGAGAGCAATAATAAAGCTGTTACTTGTAACTTTGAACTCTGGGTTGTCATAAAGTTATACGACATATTTACCATGTAAAGGAAACTTGACTATCTTGATATATAAATATGTGTATGTGAGCTTCTCCATAATTCTCGTAGAAAATCTCAAAGTTCCTAAAAAAATTTTACCTATCCTAACATTATTTCACATTAGCTTCCAGAATGACCAGGCATTTTTTTGCCTAGAAAATTATCCCAGTGATATGGATTTTAAGAAAATACTGGAAGTTTGGAGGATTTTTAATATTTTTCTTCTGTGCAGCTATTTATCCTTTGAGAAGAAAAGGCAAGGATGATGGATGAAACTGATAAAAATTGCAATAATGATTTCTTTTTATTTTCTTTCTTTTTCTTTCTCAATCTCATTCTTCTCTCTATTCTCTCTTTCTCTTTTCCCCCTTCTTCCCTTTCTCCATTCGTTCCTTTACTTCTTTCTGAAATGCAAAATAAAGGGGGGGAAAAAATACAAAAATACAAAAAAAAAAAAAGAGAAGCAAAAGAAAAATCCAAATCACTGCTAGATAAATTTTATTTTCCTACTAAACTCAAAATTCTCACTTCTTGGTTCATGAAAGACTATAAATGTCTTAAACTTTAAACTACCAAAATTTTCTGTGAAATTGAAATTTTATTTTCAGTCATCCTTACTTATTGGCAAAATTAGTGTCCTAATCATAGCTATGCAATATTTGATCTGGTGTTTATATTACATTTTAATTCTATTTTTGAAGTTTCGTGTGTATGATTTCTTTAACCATAATGAATCTAAGTATTGAGATTTCATAAATTAGACTGTTCTAATAATTCATCTGGGTGGGAGGATGCTTGCATGGGTCTTACTGTGATTGAAATGTTAGATTTTGGTTTACAATATTGATTAGTTGTCTAGAGACAACTAATCTAGAGAGCTTTGCTCTCTTGTCCCCTCCTGTATAGGTCTAATTGAGAAATAATTAAAAAAAAACCCCAAAACCAAACACTAGCAACTCTGGAAAGATTCACTTTTCCTGTTCAGGAAGCTCACAGGGAGTTCAATTTATTGATTCAACTTACCCAAGTTAACATAAAATCCAAATTATGGTTGTAATTTTCATGGGAATCAGCTAACCATAAATAGCATTTGTTCCCTTCTGAGAAGCAGAACACTTAATGAATTGCAACAATCATGCCAATTTTGACCATATTTTAAAGCACATTGTAGTTTTTTGTCATGATAATGTTTTGTTTGTCTGTCTCCTGTATTTGCTTAACAGAGTTGCCTCTTTTAAGATGGAAACAGCTCGGGATACCTTTGACGACTCATTTTTCCTCTACTTTCTATTTCTCTCCATGTTTCTTTCATCCTTGATCTCAGGAGCAACATCTACTCAAAATTTAACACCCCCTCTTCCTACCTCTCTGCTCAGCAAGGGTGAGAGCACACATGAAGTTCTGCATCTGTTTGGGGGCTCCCCAATACAAGAGAGACATGGACATTATGGAGAGTCCATGGAACTTTGCTCCTGTGGGTGTTCTCAAATGTTGTCCCAAAGGCAGCCTCTAGGGACATGATGGGTGACACCTCTGCTTGACACTTCCTGTGATAATTGGAGACACACAGCATGAATTTGCATCTACCTTTTGGTGTTTGTTCCTCAGGAAAGGAACTGGGCAGCAATTTGAGGGGAGCAAACCTTATGCTCACGTGCAGAGACAGACACCCCCAACAGAGTGCTCTATGTGAAAACAGTCTTGGAAGCATGTGAAAGAGTGTTTTTGCTCAAATTATATGTGGATTGTTGGATTTGACTCTGCTTTTATTATATAACAACAGGACTGGCCACTACAGAACAGAATATTAAGGCTTCAGTTGCACAACCAATTATGCATGTATTTATGATATCAGTTACTGTCAAATGCAGCTAATACCACTATTTTGCTTAATATTCAGAGCACAAGAAAGTTAATGTGCCATTCTACTGAGTTTATTGATCTCAACAATGGCATTATGGTGCTCTGGTGAGACTCAATTATTGCAGGAAAAGTACTAGGGTATGGGGTGGATACCAGAGGGGATACAGTTTCTCGAGGATTTGGAGATGTGAGAGTGGCAAATAACTA